TAATGCTCCTCAAGATATTCAATCGATCTCTGAGACAAAGAGAAAAACAAAACTTCTTAAGCATTATGTATTATAATTCCACGAATATCTAATGGAACAAAATTGAAAATTGAAATTGATTAAATCACCAGAATAGATGAAATGAATGAATGAATGGGTCAAATTATCGTTCTCCTCATTGAATCCCCGCTTTCTCAATCTTTCATAGCAAAAAATATTTTTTGTTTTTCCAAAATTTATCCTAAATATTTTATAATTTTTGTCTTTTTGATAATATAAATAAGGCTATTTCTTGTTTTTAAATAATTTAAATTTCTTTTTTAAAATAATTTTAATTGAAATGAAAGAAAGAAAAGCGAAAGAAATTATTTATTTCATTTATTTAACAATGACTTAAATTTGTATTTAAGTATTTCATTACAGTTTGTAATTATTCGAATATTTTTTTATTTACCAATATGATAAGGTATATTTAATGTTAGATGAATTGAATTTTCTAATAGGATTTATATATCATTTCTAAAAGATATATAATATTGAAAATAGGTTAATCGATAAAATTCAATCGTCATCATCAACATCATCATTATCGTTACTAATTTTAAATATTTCCTAGGCCTGTTTAGGCAGAAGAATTGGGAGAGAGAAAGAAGAAGAAAGGCCTCAAATAAAAGCATATCAGTGATAATCATATTAATACATAAAAGTGAATTTATATTTCGCTAAATGAAAAAAAAGAAAGAATCATAAAAAATTGTTTCCGTAAAATTTCATAATTACAATTTCAATTTCTTTTTTTATCATTTCAGTGTTATATCATTTCAATTTTGATTATCACTGATATGCTATAATTTAATTTTTGAACGCATAAGCAATACATTTATCATTTTCAGCTATTACGTTTTATTGTAGCTTACAACACTAATTATTAATTCAATGCAAATAAGAAAAAACCTTCTTATTGACTGACAAACCTATGAAATAGATTTTTGAACTATTTCAAATTTCTTTCTTCTAAAATGATAAAATTATATGGGAAAAAAGAAATGAAAGAAGAATGAATGATAAAAAGCTTGAAAATTTTGACCTGAAGGTCATTTTTATATCATTGAGCCAGAAAATTGATGTACATCGGAGTCGTTTTAAAAACCCATCCAGGATGAGAAGAAAATAAAACAGCCGTCCTTCTTATCTTTCAACGCCACCAAAACTTCATACATCTTATGCTAATAGATAGATATATACAAAGTTCTTTTAAATTTCATTTTATATTTGATATCTCCAGCAAAAAAGAAAGAAGTTTTTTTTATAAATGACCTTCAGACGATTGGAATAATTGTTGTTGTTGTTGTAAGAGAATGAGAGAATTGCTGAATAAACTTCATCATTGATAAAAATTATTGTTATTAGCATCGACAATTTATATTAATCCTTAAAATTTCAGCTAATATTTCATTTCTTTCTTACCTTTTATTTATTTATTCTGCTTTTGTTTATTCTGTTCTTTTAATTTATCTATTCTTTATTTATTCCTTTTTTTTATTCTTTCTAATTATATTCTAATTATTCTTATAAGTTTATTTAATAAAATACTCTTTTTTAATTTCATTTAAAAATAATTTAAATTCTTTCAAAAAAATTTTATATTATACTTTTAATATTTACACTGATAGTTTAATCTTTGTTCTTATACTTTTATTATTTACAATTCTTTAATAATTTTTGCTAATATATACATATATTTCAAGTGAATTGTAATGATAATTGTTATGTTCGTACTATATTTAAAATTATATTAAAATATAATTTCAAAGATTATTTCAAAATGAAAAACTTTTAAAATAAATTTTCTACTAGAAAATTATTAGATTATGAATTAGTTTTCTCTTTCTTTATTATCATTTATAAATGATAAGAGGAAATAATTCACTCTGTATAATGTTATCAGTGATAATGTTGCAAAGATATCTTTTACATATATTTTATTGCAATTTCTCTTTTATCAAATAAATGCAATATCGTCTTTTTTTGTTTATTTTTCCAATCAAAATTTTTTAAAAAGTAAATGAATAAGCGAGAAAGTATGTGCGTTGTTTTTGAATTATAAATGAAGCGATTTCTATTATCAGCCAATTTTGTATTATAATTTATGAATTATTCATTTTAATATTTTCACTATGTTTTTCGTTTATGAAATTATCCTAAAATTAACACTAAAATATTTCATATCCATTCTATTACATTTATTATTCTATTCTGTTACATTCATTATTCTATTCTATTACATTTATTATTCTATTCTGTTACATTCATTATTATGATAAAAGAAATTTAAAATTTTCATTATAATTTCAAGTAAAATTGTTTATTTGTTTCATAATCCATTATAAATATTACACCGAGCATTGCTGTAATTATTTTATCATTATAAAAAGCTTAATCAATCGAACTTTTCCGCTCAAATTACTTATCTAATAATCCATTACAAATACATATATATATATATATATATATAATAGCAATATTAATTTCCGGACTAACTTCCCGATTAACTTATCATTAGTTTCTTTTAATATGTTATCAATGTATAAAGTTGCTTCATTTTCGTATTTATTTCATGCATATATGTATTAAACTGGTTTTAGAAACCACTTAATTAAAACTAATTAAAATGACAAAGTTTATATTTGTGTAAATGATAAACTAACATATCCATATTTCACAAATATAATTTGTCCCATCTTTACCTCACTCACCCCCCTCCCCCCTATCATCATCCTTCACCATCACTCGATCATCTTTTCCTGTCATATTATTCAAACCAATCATCATTGTGGAATTGTTAGTGTGAAGGTTACAACTATTCAAATTATCGTCGTCAATTATTTACGCTCATTCAACCTTTCAACTTCTCTAAGCTTATTTTATAATAAAATATGAAATAATAAAAATTTTTATATTTTTTATATCATTCTCGAAAAAAAGAGAAAAAGAAAAGAGAAAGATAAAGGAAAAGAAGAGAGAGAGAGAGATAATTTTACAAAAAATACAAATTATTCGTTCTTTCTTTTGAATTATTTTTCATTTTGCAATGAAATAAATTATTTTGAAACAATTCAAAAAAAGAAATTTCCTCTCATTAATATTAGTAATGCAATAACTGTTAATTATATCATTTTTGTGTTATATTTCATTCTGCACTCTTATCATTATCACTCTTTTCCTTCTTTTTTAGTGATAACGCTTTTTTCTTCTTTCTTTGCACAATTATTTCATATTTTAATTTATATATCAAATTTGAAATTGTATAATTTAATTCATTTCTTTTGGAGTAAAAAATAAAAGTAAGAAATAAAATTAACCTAAAAAAGCAATTCGTCGTTTTAATTAAACAAATTAACAATTAAAGCTGATAATATATGACATATAGTGATAATACATGATAAATATTTGACACATTAAACATCTCTTTTACGAAATTTATTGATAATATAAAAAATTTTAGTGTAAAGAGTAAATTATTTTAACACATTTTCATATTATTATAATAATACAAAAAATTAAATTTTAATTAGTAATTAGTACATCTCTAATTAATTAATTAGTACATCTGTCTTGTTTAATCTAACCTTACTTTGTGATGTAAAATTTTTAAAATATAAAATTATATCAAATGTAGAAGAGATATCATCTGATATGGAAAGAAATATTACATCATTCTTTGAATGAGAAGGATAAATTTATATTTTACTTATCAAATCTAAAATTTGATAATAAACATACTTCTCTTTTCTCTTCTTCAAATCCTTTCCATTCCCAATTCATTCACTTTGTTTCATTATGTTTAAAATTCTCATATCTTCAACAATTCTCTCTACTGTTTCCATATCATTTTGTTTTGATTTAAAATTTGTAAGATAAGGTCAGAGGTTGCAGAACTATCGAAATTACTGTCTAGTATTTATACTGTGATGTTTGGCGATGATAATGGTATTGGTGTCAGCGGTCGTTGATGATGATGGTGATGGTTGGTACCCATCACAGGCTGGTGCCTTACTGCTATTGCTGGTTTTGGCCTTCTTTTCTTCCTCCTCCTCCTCCTCTTCCTCCTTCTCTTCTTCCTCCACCTCCTCATCCTACTCCTCCTCTTCCTGCTCCTACTTTTGCTCCATCTTTTCGAGATTGTTCCCTCGCGACCTCCCGTCCCTGATGGACCGGTTATTGTGGAGGAAATCATCACATATAGATAGAAACACATACATACATATACATAGAACCATCCGCATATTGTGGGTGACGTTTGGTGACAACAGTTCAACAGAGTTCATTTTGATGTATGTTGTCACCTTCCCCTTCTTCCCTGCTAACTTGTTAAAGAACCACTTACCTTTTCCCTATCCTGCATTACTCGCTCTAATCTATTGAAGCTAGTTGAACTGAGCCGTTCTCTAAAACTGCACCATCCTATCTTACCTATGACCTGATGGTCAAGTTTTCTCTTCCTTCTATTATTCCTTTTACATACTTTATTTATTCCTTCTATCTGCTTTATCTTGAACAAGGTAACTGACTGTCTCATCCTCGATAACTTCATCCTTGCCATCCAATATAGGTATCATTTCATTTCATTCACCAAATTTTCCGAATCTTCCTCCCTTAATCCGCCCATCGCCATTTTGGTTAGTTCTTCTTCAATTGGGTTTTATTGTTCTTCTTGTTTTTTTCTCGTCTTTCATGACAGCCTACGGCGTTCGCTCATCCAGAATCCCATTTTTTCGTGATGCTATAGAGATATCCATAATTTCTTGTACAATGATTAAATGAATGAGAAGAGATTATATGTATATGTATGATTGATGAGGTCCTATTTATTTCTTATCATTACAATTACATGAAACGATATCATTTTAATTTTTCTTTTTTTCTTTTTTTTGTTTTAGAAATGACCGAAATCACATCTTTCTCTTTCCTCTTCTTTGTTTTTTTCTTCTTTTTCTCTTCGTAGAATTTATTTTTCAAAATTTTCACTAACTGATAAACTTCAATTATCACTCGTTTTTTTGTTCTTTCTTTCTTTTCTTTTCCTCTCTCTCCCTCCCTCCCTCTCTCTCTCTCTCTTTCTCTCTTTTTATCTCTCAACATTTTTATATTTAAAGTATGCAAATGAGTTTATCTGAAATTTCCTAACTTTTTGTTTAAAGTTTTTTCAAAAGAAAAAATTTCAGATTTTTTAGGAAAATTTTCCAAGCTGTTGCATTTTTTTTGAAATTCAGTTCATATGATATTGTTCAGTTTTAAATCGAAATTTCGACAATCATTCGAATGAAAAGTTGTCAGAAAGAAATATTATGGCAATTTATAAATAAAATTTCTTTTATCATATCATTTTAACTTCTATAAGTTTGTTTATCTTTTATCAATAGTTATGATAATGAATTATTTCAGAAAAATATTTTAACCAAAACTTTCCGACAACATATTGAACAAAATTATTGAAATAGGAAAAAATTTTTTAAAAGCCATTATTGAGAAGTTTGTTGATAAGAGCTTATAAAGAAGAGAATGTTTGCAAATATAATTTAAATTTCATATCATTGGAAATGTTTCCTAACTTCCAATAATTTCATTAATATATTATATCATCTAATTAGCATAAAATACTTTTAATTGTTATAAAAATCAATGAATGAATTAAAACATAATGAAAATTATTGTTATACACTATATTGCTGTATAAATTATTAATTATGTAAATTAGAATATGTTTTAATAAATTATAAAATATAAGAATAATATGTGTGTAAACATATAAAGTTATCACTTTAACCTATTTGCGCTCAATTTCCTGTATTTAATCATTTATGCCAAAAGTGATCGGTACAAGTTGGAGAAATTGTTTGAGTTTGTTGTGTAAATAATATTCATACATTCATTCCGTATACACAGCGGAACTGGGAAGGAAGGAATAGGCGGTATCCGATACAGTCAGGAGAGGTCAACTCCGCCGACTGGCACGGCTTCGGGAAGGAAGTCCATCATCATCATCATCATCATCATCATCATCATCATCATCATCATCATCATCATCATCATCATCATCATCATCATCGTCATATCAACGTATCATTTGTTGCATACTTTAATAAAAATAATAATTTAACTCATTTTCTGTTGTTTTTAAATTTCTGATTAATAACTATTACGAAAGAATATCTTTTCTATTTGATTTTTTTTATGAAATATATCATTGATTTTAATTTCTTCCTTTTAAATTCCTTCCCTAGGAAAAATATTTTGAACCTTTGACCTCTTAAATATATATATTATTGATATGTTCCCTTCGAGTTTATTTTCTGTAGAGATTATTTTTTGCTACTCATTTAATTATAGCGAGTAGAAGAATATCGAAAAGTAATGAAATATTAAAGATTGGATTAATTAACATTCCTTCAATTGCATATTAATTACTTATTATATCATTTCTTCTTGGCTAGCAAGAAATAATATACCTATCGATGAAATTATCTTTTTAATAATTTATCATCCATACGAAAATATGAAGCAATACGAAAGATTATTCAATCAAACATCAAATTGATCTTATCATTTGCGTTTGTTACAGAGCATTTGTTTACTATTGATAACGATAAATTTGAAAACTGGAATGTTTTTTATATGTAAAGAAAGCATAGCAGACAAAAAAAAGGAGCAAAAAATTAAAGCTTAATCATTTTTATCATTATGCTATCTTATCACTAAATGTTCTTTCACTTTTCTCTCTTCTTTAATCATTGTATATACTTTACTCTTTCTTAATCTTTCTATTAATCAATCATTTAAACTATCAATACTTTTTGAATTTTTAATTATACATATAAATTGATAACTTTATGAATTTTAATATCACAATTTAATGTTCTTAAGTTAGATATTTTACGATATCAAAGGTACTTTTGAATCATTTCTTCAATCATTTTACATCTTATTTTTGATAATCATAACTAATGCACAGCTAATATTGTTGCAATATAATAAGTGATAATATTTTTGGTTAACTTTTAAATGAATTTTAATTGGTATACCGATTAATGAATGTACCGATAATTTTGAATCTAATAAATTAAAAATAATAATATGCAAAAATTACTGAAACAACTTTGTAGATAGCTGTTTAGATAAAAAGTTATCAGACAAGTATAAGCATAAATGTTTTTCATTTAAAAACTTATCAGGCAATTATGACTCTTCGTGTTCGATATATAGCTATGCGCATTTTCATTGCTCTTATCAGGCGTGATTATTATTAGTATATTATTATCACTATAATCATCGTTGTCATAAATTATCACCGTTTCCTATTTTATGAAAAGATTAATTTATTGGTACGTCTCATAGGGCTGTTTCAAATTAGCAAACCAGTTTCATCCATTCTTTTTTGCTCTTTCTCTCTCTCTCTTTTTTCTCTTTTAGTTAATTAGATTTAAATTAAAACTAAAGAACGAAATATTGAATGTTCCATGGGAAAAAGAGGAAATCAGAGAGATAGCGAAAAAAATATAATTTATAAACTTTTGTTTAAAATAAAAGACAAAAAGAAATTACTTCTCGTGCAAAATTTTAATGAAAAAATAACAATTTTATTTGTTTTTTCTCTCTCCCCCTTCTCTCTCTCTCTCTCTCTCTCTTTCTTTCCATTTTTAACATAGAGAGATTTTGAAGAAAGAAAGACAGGAAAAAGATTGCAGCTTGAACAAGATTTTCTTGTTTTTTCTTTTTCGCTAAAAAGATCCAGAAATGTCTTCTCTCTCTCTCTCTCTCTCTCAATGGCTTACCTTTTGCAGTGATAACAACACCTTATCTAAGCTTGTTTTCACAAAACAAGTTTTTCCTTTTTTTGCTGTCAAAAGAAAAAGCAACTTAAAAGATGAAGAAGGATGAGAAAAATTGGGGACTAAATTAGTTTTAATAGTTATTAAATAATTAATTAATTAGTCGGTACTGATTGTTTTAATTCCATTGTTTTTATTATTAAATTTCTATTTAATTCTAATGTATAAGATATGATTTTTTTTAATTTCATTTCTTATTATAATTTATACTTATTTTATTTATTTATTAATGTCACATACTCGCAGAGAAGCAAATAAAAATTATGAAAAAAGTTCAGAGGATTTAAATTTTTAAGTATTATTTTATTTTAATATTCCATTTCAGATATATCTTTTGCAACATTTGAGATGTTTATTTGGAAAACGAAAAAAAATTTGATTACATATATATATATGTAATCAAGTACTCAAGTACATATGTATATATCCCAGTTGATCGATCTTTCAATTTCGATTCCGATATTAGCATAAGTATGCCTTCAAATAAATATACATCTCAGCTAATGCAATAAAATTGTAAATATTATTTTAATGATTGGAATAGTTAAAGAAAAAAAAACCGAGGGAAAAGAGAAAGAGAGAGAGAGAGAAAGTAGGATAAATCACTTGAGAATTGGGATTGAAACTGAGGTTGATTTGCAAAAAATCTAGATCTTCTTTTTTCTTTTTAAATATTAAAACTTTAACCGAAAGGATGAAAATGCTGTCAGCAAGGAGATGTGTGATCTTTTCTTTTTCTTCACTTCTTAATTAGTAATTATCCCTTTTTTTAAAATATAAACATACTACATATTTTGTATTGTTTCAAAATTTTCTCATTACTTATTTGAAACTTCATTGTTTCATTGGTTGTACATATAGAAAGAATTAATAAAGAATATGAAGAAATATAGAAAGAATTATAGAAATTAAAGAGTTAAAAACAATGAGAGGAAATTAAGGAAAGAAAGAGGTCAGAGTTTAAGGTTATTATGAGAGCATATTTTTAAATATATGAATAAATTTTTAATTTTTCAATTTTTTCGTTACAAAATTATTTTAGTATTTCAATTCTTATTATTTCAAATATTTATTTATTAAAATTTACATTTTTCTTTTTTGTTTTTACGAAAATTTTCGTTCATTTTATTGAAAGCAATATATTCCATATATGTTATGTTTACATTGAATCATACTATTACATATTAACATATCATTTGAATTAACTAATTCTCTCTACTTAGTTGTAATAAAATAATATTATTATGTTAGCAAAGCAACAAATGAAATTATATTGAATTTCGAAATTAAAATGACATAATTAACATCCCATCTATTTTTGCACGCTCATCTTGTCGAATATTCAATAATGAAGTTAACTTGACCCGATTTTCGATGAGGTAAAAACAAGGTCATTGACTTCGTCTATCTTTCAATTCACCCATTTTCATCGTTCTCTTTTATTGCCATAAAGAAACACCGAATTATCATTCAATTTTCATTCCATTCAGTAAAGGTGCCATTTTTTGAACTAAATTACACATATCATCATTATTCTTCCTATTTTTATTTATTATTATTATTGTTTATTTATTTATTTGTTTATTTATTATTATGTCAGTTTTAGATCTGAAAGAAAAATTGATTATCAGAAATGCTGATCTTTAGATGTTGTCTTTTTTTCATTCTTTGTTTTCATTGGCTTAGTTGCAATAAACGTTATCAGCTACGGGACTGTTATCAGTTATTGATTACATTTGTGATAGTTGTTGAAAAACGAAGTATACATACACTTAAAAGTATAGATATATATTATTATCACTAATAATATATATATGTTTCATATTTTACCCATTCTTATGCAAGAAATTCCAATCTATTTGCCTGTAATATGCGCTGATAAGGTATGTGAAATTCTTTTCCATCTTCTT